CGAAGACCATGTCCCATCCCTTCCGAGCCACCTTATCCTTTTCTTTTGTCTGCCTCCCACCTGAGCTCCCCCTTTGATCAGTCAGCGAGCCTGGACTGCGCGCCTGGTGGTGCCGGGCCAGTGCTGCCTGCCTGCTCCCGGCGAGGCTCCCAGAAGAAGGGACGGGTCTGCAGGTGACCCCCGCTGCTCCATTCCGTGTGCCTTTCTTCCCCTTCTGCCTCGCTTTATCCCTCCCCTCTTCCCTCTTGGAGCGTCACCATCTCTCTCTCTCTGTCTCCTTCCCTCGCGGTGGTAGCAAGCACCGGGTGCCTGCTGTGTGCCGGGGACACAGAGATGTATAAGAACACCCCTGGTGCAGCTCAGAGGCAACTGGGGGACAGCTGGATGTGTAAACAGACAAGCACAGTCTGGTGTGGTAGGTGCTGAGACAGCACAGCAAGGACAGAGGGGACAAGGGACCACAGACGAGGGACTGACCAGCTCTGCAGGGGGGAACCAGGGAGGGCTTCATGGAGGAGGTGACATTTGACCGGGGCTTGAGAGATGAGTGGAATTCCCCAGGCGGGCAAGCATGGGAAGGGACTGCAGGTGTGGAGGGCTGCTGCGGCAAGGAAGCTGGACTCAGGTGAGCCCCAGGAGTGAGGCTGCGAAGGGAAGGAGGCCAGCGGAGGAGGCGAGAGGGAGGTGGAATCAGCAGCGGAGCGGCAGGATCAGGTCGGGGGGGCCCCACGTGGCTCTGTTGGCAGTACGGGTGCGGGGGAGGGCCAGGCATGGTGAGGAGGCTGCTGCCAACGCCCAGGGAAAGGGTGATGGTGGCCGGGGCTGGCTGGTGCAGCAGGAATGGACAGAGGAGGTGGTGTCGTGGCGTGGGGTTCAGCAGGGACAGGCTCTTGGGCCCTTGGGGACTGAGTGCTGTGCGGGGTGGGCAGGAGAATGAGCTGAGGCTTCTGGCTTGGGTAACCATGGAGGAAGGAGCCTTTCGGGGATACTGGGTGCTCCGAAGAAAGCGGGTTTGGGGGGATGACACAGACTGAAGCTCAGGAGGGGAGGAGGTGTCAAGGTCAGAGATTTAGAGGTTTCGATTTGGGAGTATCTGCCCGGTGGGAGCCTTTCGAGCCTGGAGGAAGCTTCCAGAGCAGAGTATGAACATGTCAGGTGTCCTGTGAGACCTGGTCCATGAGTTCTGGGGGAGGCAGCTCCACTCTTGCACCTCTGGGTTCCCTCATTGTCTCTCTGTCCCTCTCCTGCCCTCTCTGTGCCCCTCCCCCCCCACCACCCCCCCGCCTTTCTTGACTGGCTGCTCTGCCGACATCCCCCAGTGCTAGCTCCCACCCTGATCTTTCAGGAGCCCCACCCTGGGCTCCTGGGGTGATGAACTCAGTGAGCGACTGTGGAGGGAATGAAGGACGGCTTGCGTGTAGGGCAAGCAGCTGCTGTGTCCTCTGCAGAGGCATCCTGCCCTGGGACCGGGCTCAGGAGGGTGAAAAGGACTCATCTGAGGGGTTCCCCAACCTCTTCCACCCCCTCTCATGTCCAAAATATTGGGCCTCCCTGCTGCATCCCCTTGATGACAATAATGATATTTTTTTGGTGTGGCTTTGATAGGAAAAAACAGACATGAATTTGAGGACCCCCGATGTTACCCCACAGTCCGCATGTGGAGGTAGGGGTGGGACTTGATGGGCGAGAGGGTTAGTTCACGACCCACAGAGTAGGAGCACTGGCCGGAGGAGGTCCGTGAGGGACGCGCAGAGGCTGCCAGGAGAGCGGGGGGACCGCGGCTGGTCCCCGTTCTCCAGCTTCCTGCTCTTGAAGCCTCCTTCCTGACCTTCTGTAGCAGGGCCCAGCTGGTCCTTGGGTGCTCCCCGACCCGACTGGTCTCGATGGTGACCACTCTGCCCTAGACCTACCCTTGCATCCGATTTTGCTATTTCTTTACTTTTACTCATCTAAACACTGTAGGCTAAATAGTAGAAAGTCTGACTTGATCATTTTGAAAAGCATGCATCTCGGCCACAGGCAGAGTCTCTGTATCAGGAGCATTATGAGGACAGCCAGGAGGCACCGGTCTTAACAGACGGACAGGTAGGAACGGCTTGTAACCGTCATGTTCATCGTGAGTAAAGGAGTTGCTTTTAAGTTTAAAGAAACTTGAAAGTCATTTCCTCCGCGCCCCAGTGACTGTGTTTTACCACCGTTCTTTTCTTCCTGGAGATGCTGTGGGGAGTTCACAGCCTTCTTTTGTTTCTCTCACGGTCCGTTTCTCCTTCAGCCTCGCTTACTGACCCTGCGCTGTCATTCCTCCAACACGTCGCCTGTGTCTGCTGCACGCCGGCCTCGCACCCAGCTTGGGGCCTTCAGGGAGGGAGGAGGCAGAGTCCCTGCCACCCTGGACCCCGCGGAGACGAGCAGTTCCAGCACTGATCCAGTGTGACAAGAGCTGAGAGGGAGAACAGGATTGGAGTGCCGTGTCTGCGACAGGGGCTCCTCACGAGGCTGGGGGAGGGCCGAGGGCAGGCTCCCCTCCCTGAGCAAGACACACGGGACCTAAGGATGAGTTCAGTTTAGAAGCCACACAGAGGAATGATCATGAACACAAAGTTGGATTTTGGAACTTTTGCAGGACGATAGTCTTACCCAGTTCGTAAGGTTGGGCTTCCTTTTCTCTAGGAGCCTTTCTGTGACTCTCACTCCGTCTGCCTTCTGGGATCCTGCAGCCCTGATAGCTTGAATCACCCTTCCCAGTGCCTGAGTGACAGGCCCCCTGCCTCTGAGACCATGGCCAAGGTCCTTCTTGGGGTCTCACTCTATCCCTGGGCCTCCAGGTTAGAGTGGGCTCCTTAGAGCGGGCTCCATATCCTTCTCTTTCCTTGTGGCCCAGCATGCTCACAAGCTGCAGGGTCTAAGCTCCCCAAGGCGCTCCGTGGTTTGACTTGTACATGCTCTGCCTCGGGGGCCTCTCCAACCGAAGCACTCAAACCAAGTGAGGAACTGAGAGATGGAAGACCTAGATGGCATCTACCACACAAAAGCTGAACAGTACCACAGACAAAACCAAAAGGCAAATGCCAAACTGGGGGAGGTGTTTGCAACAATGAGAAACTAAGGCTTAATTTTCTCAAAAAAGAATTTAATACAAATCAATAAGAAAAACGTGGAGACCCTCGTAGACAATTCACACATGGAAATTCCAGTGGCTAATATGTATATATGGGAAAGGTTGTTCAACCTATCAGTAAGCAGCAATAGAAATGAAAATAGCATACTTCCGTGTATCAATTTTGCAAAAGTGAGAAAAAGGTAATAGCCGGTGGACGTAGCCTGGATGTAGGGAAACAGGCACCCTCATGTAGTACTGATGGTTGTGGTCATCAGTAGTACCTATGGAAGCACTTTGGGAGTGAGTCTAAAGAGCCTGGGAGATGGGCATTCTCCACCCGCTGATCACACTTCTGAGACTCTGTCTCAGCCATGGACGGTGACACGGGGAATTTCTCGGAAAATCATGTTAAGCAGCAAAAGTAGGACATACGTATTATAATGTATAATTCTACTTACATAAATTCTATATCTATGCATAAATCTTTTCTTCGGGTGATTTTTTTAAGGGCTTTTTGCTTCTCGGTGATTATGTTCATCATAGTTTGTCTTTCCCGCATTTTCTATGATGAGCATACCCAAAGTCAAGAAGGGGGGAGACCTCTTGAAATGTGAAGTGATGGAACCAAATAAATATAGAAATTAACTTTGGGAGTCAAAAGAGTCAAATCACTAGCAAAACTTGTCACTTTGCAAGATTCAAGAAATATATGTTGACATGTACATAGCAAAATTCTCCAGAAGGCTAAGGGCAGAGATCACCAGGCCACGTGGCTGTGGATGGGCTGATTTTGTGAGGTTTCCTTCACGGTGTGATACTGGGTATAGCCTGTCCCTTGGCAGGGCTCAGTTTCCTAATCTGTACACAGGATGGTAGGGGGTCAGACTGAATGACCTCTGAGGGTCTTGGCAGATCTCGGCTAACTCTGTTCTTGAAGAAGAGACCTTTGACTTGCGCCCATGACAAAACTGAGAAGGACCAAGGGCTGGTGATTGCAGGCCTCAGGTTCCAGCTCCTTATCTGCTGAGAGGCCCCTCATCTGCCCAGTACCTTGTTGCCTGTTTGTGACCACCATAATGCCCTGTTATGGCCTTGCTTGCTGGCCACCGTCTCTTCCTGTCCGCTTCTGGGCCCACTCAGTTGGGGGCTGGTTTGACTGTGTGCCCTGGAGGGGCAGGAAGGGGGAAATCCTATGCTTTGGATCTGTTTAGTAGAGGCATGAACTCAAAAGCCACTGGGGAGCCCACCTGCCCGGGGAGATGATGTCTCCTCCCTCCCGGGCCCTCTCTCTGGGACATTTTTTAACGGTATGGCTCTCAGGGCCAAGGTGCCCTGATTGTTTGAAGGCCACCAAAGCCACTTCATGGTGTGGGGCTGCTCCCCTCCACCCCCAGCCCCAGGTCACCTGTGGGCTGACTAGAGCCCCTCCCACACCATTAGTGGCACCAGATCCTCAGCTCTGCTAAGGCCTCCTGTGCTCAGCCTCCTTTCCCAGACGCTGAGGGCTTATGGGTGATGCTGCCCGGGCACCTCAGGAACTGCTGCTTTCAGCCACGAGCAAGTCTTAGAGTCCTCCTTCCCGATGTGCTTTCTCAGGGCCGGGGCCCGAGCCTTCGCTGCCGGGTGCTCCCCTAAGCCAGGCTGATTTTCCTTCCCGCCCAGGCATAAACTGACCCGCAGTCTTGCAGGAAAGATGGCCTGTGGGGTTGTCCCCTCTGTCAGGGACCAGAGGACTCCTGCCTGAGCTGCTGCCTCTAGACTGTGACAGCTTCAGCCCCACCCTGAATAGCAGGGCGGGTCTGGGGTAGGGGCGGAAGAGCTGCCCTGGGAATGGTGAAGCTGGTAGGGAAAGGCGTCCCCACAGAGCCACCCTCGCTAACGTGGGACTGTTTCTCCTTAGCAACCAGCAGATGCATGGAAAGACAGCTTCTCCGAAGAGCCCTGTGTCCTGCACAGAGAAACTAGCCAGGGTTCAGGCACCCCTGAACTCCAGGTGAGGCCCCTTTCCACCGGTCAGATATTCATATCGATTAGGGGTGGGAGGCCCTCAGGAGGACCTTAAAGACCAGAGCAAATAAAAAAGAATGAAATCTTGCCATTTGCAATGACGTGGATGGAGCTAAGGTGTATCATGCTAAGCAAAGTAACTCAGTCAGAGAAAGACAAATACCATATGATTTCACTCACATGTGGAATTTAAGAAGCAAAACAAACGAACAAAGGGGGAAAGGAAAGAGAGAGAGAGAGAAAGAGAGAGGCAAACTAAGACACCTGCCCTTAACTACAGAGAATAAACTGATGGTTACCGGCGGAGAGGAGGCTGGGGGGCTGGGAGAAATATGTGATGGGGAGTAAGGCGTGCACTTGCTGGGATGAGCCCCGGGTGATGTATGGAGGTGCTGAATCACTGTATGGTACACCTGAAACGAATATTACACTGTGCTAACTAACTGGAATTTAACTACAAACTTAACAGAAAGCAAAGAAAGGGGCATAAGGGGTTAAAGAAAAGTTAGAAAGGGGACCTTGCGGCAGGTGTTAGGTTGGGCACAGGCCGCCCCGACCTCTTCCTCCCATTCCCAGGCCTGTCCCAGCACCCGGGGACCTAGCAGAGTCTAGGCTTCTCAGGTTACCAGCCTCCTCCCTGCCCACCTGTCCTCAGGCCAACCTGGCCAGGGCAGAAGTTTGCGTTCCAGCACCACCCCCTCTCCCTCAGCCTTGGTAGCCTCCATCAGGTCAGGTGAGTCTGCTGAGCTCCAGGCTACCGGAGGAGGCTTCCAGGAGGGCAGTCCGGCTGGGATCATGGCCCGTGGCCAGGCCCCGGAGCTGTGAGTCTGACATCGCCACCTCACCCCGCTCCCCAAACTGGTCTCCATCCCCGTGTCTCCTACTCATTTACCCCTGGGTCTGCTCCTCTGCTTATCCTTTGGCCAGAGAAGTGGGAGAGGGTTTTGGACACTTGGGGGCGGGAGGCTCCTAAGCATCTCCGGGAGGTGGAGGCTCAGGCTGAGCGTACCTCCGGTGGGGGCCTGGGGGGGGGGGAGGTGCGCTACCCACAGCTGTCTGGGAGGAGGGCTCGCAGCCCTTCCCCAGAGTTGAGCTGCATGCTCGCTGTTGCTTATCACTTTTCGGTGGCTCCTAGGAAAGGGCCTCAGGTCTTCAGTCTCTGCCCCAAGCTTCTGGCTCGAAGCCAGGGCAGACCGGGCTCTGAGGATGTATGGGCAGAACTCGTTCTGAGGGTTTCTTGTCTCTGGAACGGAATGTCTCCTTTGCAGTCTGCACTGGCCAGAAGGCTTGAAGGGTGAAGAGATCAAGAAGTGTGGCCGAGAAGGGGTAAGTGTGTGGAGGCTGACTTTTCACTGCCCTCCAAGGGAGGGGCCCAGGGCTGCCTGAATTCAGTGACCGTTGGCTCCTTGGCCACCAGGCTTGTCACCAGGGGCAACCTGAGTGAGTGTCCCCTCCTGGGTGGGGGTGGTGTGTCCCCCTCCCGTCATAGGCCGCCCATCAGGACCTACCGTCACCAAGAGACAAGCTGTGCTTGGGACTCAGCCTTTTACCCCCACTGGCTGCTTACTGACTGCTGCATACCAGAGCCCCTGCCCGCGTGGCATTATTTCCCGGTGGCTGGTGCCGGGGCCCCTTTGGTGGTCTGATCCCCCAGGACTTCTCAGCCCCAGCTCGTGTGTTTGCAGACACTACTGAGTAAATACAACCAGCAATACCACAAGCTGTTTAAGGACATCCCCTTGGAGGAGGTGGTTCTCAAAGGTGAGCTGTCTCCCTCGTGTGGCTGGACAGGTGCCTAGGGGGCCTGAGGCCCAGGTCCTCTCCTCCGGAGCCTCCAAGGCACAATTTCGATGTGGGAACTGGCTGCCCTTTGGATGTGGTTGGGCCTGTTTTCTTCAAAAGTATGAGAAGACTGGGTAGATTTGGGACATGAAATGGAATTTATGAAAGTTTTCTCGAGGCAATGTCAGGGCTTCCAAATCTTGTTTTTGTTCTGCTCTTATCAATGACTGTTCTTTCCTGCTCAGGCCTCTCAGTGAGCATGTCGGAGCCTTTGCACAGTCGAGACCCTCAGTCCAGGGCAGGGCAGGGCAGGGCAGGGCAGGGCAGGGCAGGGCAGGGAGTTCTGCCTGAGGGAGCAAGAATCCAGGCTCGGGGAACCCTGTGAGGCATGGGTGGCAAAAGAGGGAACCTCTAGCAGTTTGGTGGGGTAGGGTGGGGCCGCCAGGACTCTCAGGAAGGACTCAGGGTGCTGGTGGAATGAGTGGTTTGGGGCCCGGGGTCGGGAAGGGGGATTCTGAGGAAGGCAGTCCCTGAGGCTGGGCTCTGGACTCCTGAGTGTAGGACCCAGCCCCTGGAGCTTCTGGGTTGGCCTTGCTCATGGCAGTCTTCTTTCCTGTGACTTCCCAGTGTGTTCCTGTGCCCTCCAGAGAGACCTCCTTCTCCAGGGCCGGCTCTACATCTCCCCTAACTGGCTCTGCTTCCATGCCAGCCTCTTTGGCAAGGATATCAAGGTAGTAATAAGTGGTTATTATAAGGGGCCGCAATGGGCCCATGAGGTCCCAGGCAGGGAAGATATAGGCCCCTCCCTTGCAGGCATGAGGGCCTCTCACTGCAAGGCATCCGACCTGGTGTCTGGGGAGGGGCGCCAGACTAGACTCCCCATCTGGCCTGAGCCAGCCTGAACAGCTCAGAGCCAATTTATTCTGCCCGTGGGTACCTCCGAAATGCCTTAAGAAGCAGAGTGTGATGCCACGCTTAAGGGGAGCCATACCTGTGCCAGGTGGTAGCTCAGGGGACTCCATTACTGGAGTATGGGATTCACCAGAGCAACCATCTTTGGCCACCTGGATAATAGGATGAGAGCCCGGAGCGGCGTGTGCTGTCAAGGCTGGGGCAGGTCGGTAGAACGACTGCAAGGGGAACCTGCAAGAGAAAGTGGATGGTTCAGATAGTCTCCCGCATAGGGCCAGGCTTCTCCACGGTGTCTATGCTTGGCTGACTGCCATTTGTGGCTGGGGCCCTATGCAGGAAGCAAAGGGACCGTGTCTTTTGGGGTAAATCCTGAGTGAAGCACACCTCTCCCCACTCAGGTGGTCATTCCTGTGGTGTCTGTCCAAATGATCAAAAAACACAAGATGGCCCGGCTCCTTCCCAATGGCCTGGCCATCACCACCAACACCAGCCAGAAGGTCAGTGAGTCTCTGGGCCAGCCATCCCTTGTTAATTTCCCCAACCCAGCCCCAGGATCCTGACTCTGGCACTCACCCCAGCCTGTACTTACCCCTCCCTTTTCTGTTTTCTCTCTGGGTCCCAGTATGTCTTTGTGTCACTGCTTTCCCGGGACAGTGTGTATGACATGCTGAGGAGGGTCTGCACACACCTACAGGTATGGAGCTCAGGGGCAGGAGCTGGTCGAGGGAGACTGAGGTCTTGGGACAGGCTGTTGGGAGTAGTTGGCCCATCTCTCTGATACAAGGACCAAGGGCAGGGAGAGGGGAGTAAGAGGCTCAGGCCCAGTGTATCTGAACCTAGTCCTTGGACTGGGTGTCTATGCTTGTGAGCATGTGTCTTTGAGGCCAGTGGCCCATGTGTGTCCCCATGTATATGGCCTCATTGTGCTTCCTTGGTGTATAGACAGAGGCATGTGGCTGCTTCCCAGTATGCCTACAGCTCTCTCTGGCCCACGGTGAGGAAGTGGGGAGGGGCAGGAGCTTGGGGAAGTACATTGCCTTGGATCTGCGCTCTGCTCCAGCACTAGCCCCTGAAAACTCTGGGAGTGAGGCTCCATCTGACCCAAGGCGGCTTATGTGGAGGTAAAGCTCTCTTGGAGAGTACTAACACCTCTTCACCCCTGGCCTCGGCTGTTCCAAATGGACAAGTGACCCCTGCTCCCTTTCTTCCTCAGCCTTCCAGCAAGAAGAGCCTGAGTGTAAGAGAATTTCCAGAGGAACCCGAGTGCGAGTCTCTGGTGAGAGCTGGGGCTGGGAGCAGCAGCTGCTAGTGTGGCAGAGCCTATGGCCCCGAGGCTTCAGGGCCTCCCAGGAGGGTCTACAATGCAGAAATGGGGCTCCAGGTTCAAGAGCCAGTGACCATGCTATGCCAGGGGTCCCCCACACCTGCCATGCCCCATACCATGTAGAGCCAGTAGACCCTGGGCAGCTCCGCGGACTTTCTGAGCAGAACAGATGTCCAGCCCCCAGAGCACTGCCCAGGCGGGTCCCACTGCTGTGCAGACCTAGAGGGTCTAGAGGGCCTTCCAGGGGATAGAGTTATCCTCAGGGAAGAACTCCAAAGGCTATCTCTGTAGAACTCAGACAGACTCATTTGAGATTTGCTGAGGCTCCAGCAGTTTCCTTTGCTGCTGAGGTTCTGGGTAGGCAGAGCCGAGTTTCTAGAGAGAACAGTGATGGGGATGGAAATGACCCCGGGGTGTTTGAAGCCTCCTTCACTAATCATTAAGCATTTAGCCAAGCATACAATATGCATACTACTAATGCAGGCAATAGAAGGTGATGTTCCCATTTTTGTTGATGGGGACTCCAAGTACCCCCTGCCAAGGCCAGTGATGTCCTTAGGGTTAGAGCCCAGATTAGAAGGAATTGTCCCATCTAAATTATATTGTGCTGAGCTTTCTTGGACTCAGCAGATATGAGCACATACCTGGGTTAGCTCATGTCTTAGATCCCAGGCTGGTTCTGTACTAACAGTCTTAAGGGAGCAGAGAAGAGAGACACGTGGCTGCTGTGGTAATGACTTCCCCCCTTCTGGGTACCTGACATCATGCTCACTAGGATTCCCTGTTGGTAATATCCGGAGAAGGTGTCATAAACCTAATGTGGGCCCTTAGGACAAGTGAGATCCCAAGGGTCACAGACAATTTCTTCTGCCTTCTCTACAGGAAGTCCTCATCCCTGAAATGAAGTGGAGAAAAGTGTGCCCTGCCTCCAGGTCCCTGTCCCTCCCAGACAACATCCCTTGTATCCCTCAGGCATCCATGGGCTCCACTGACAGTTTCTTTCCCTCCAGGAAGCCTCCAGGCTCTGGTGAGCTCAGGGGGCTTGTCCATGACCACTGTTTGTGAAGACCAGGCTTTTCCTCCCCTTACTTCTGCAAAAAGGAAAAATCACATGGGGCGCCTGGGTGGCTCAGTCAGTTAAGCGTCCGACTTCGGCTGAGGTCATGATCCCACGGTTCGTGGGTTCGAGCCCCGCGTCAGACTCTGTGCTCACAGCTAGCTCAGAGCCTGGAGCCTGCTTCAGATTCTGTGTCTCCCTCTCTCTCTGACCCTCCCCTGTTCACGCTGTCTCTCTATCTCTCTCTCTCTCAGAAATAAATAAAACATTAAAAAAAAAAAAAAAAGGAAAAATCACAGCCAGCTCTTCCTAAAGCTGTTTCTTTTTTTTTCTTTTTTTTTTTTTTTTACAAATAGTTTATTGTCAAATTAGTTTCCACATAACACTCAGTGCTCATCCCAAAGTGCCCTCCTCCATGCCCATCCGCCCCTCCCCCCCACATCCATCAGTCCTCAGTTTTTGTCAGCATTCAAGAGTCTCTCATGGTTTGCCTCTCTCCCTTTCCCCCACCATTTCCGCCCTTCTTCTCCCCCTTGTTCCTCCGTCAAGTTCCTCCTAATCCTCCTATACATGCAAACATATGATATATGTCCTTCTCTGCCTGACTTATTTCGCTCAGCATAACACCCTCAAGGTCCATCCATGTTGCTACACATGGCCAGATTTCATTATATCTCATAGCCATGTAGTATTCCATGGTATAGATAAACCACATCTTCTTGATCCATTCGTCCGTTGACGGACACTTAGGCTCTTTCCATGTTTTAGATATTGTTAAGAGTGCTGCTATGAACATTGGGGTACATGTGCTCCTATGCCTCAGCACTAAAGCTGTTTCTTACTTTCTTCAAATCCATAAGGGAAAGCCAAGTGCCCAAGTAGCTTCAGAGAATGGGGGGAGGGGGAGGAAGGTGGGCATGCTCCTTGCTGGGCTGGGCTCCTGCTTCCTGCCCCCAGAAGATGTCTAATTGCTCTCCTATCACAGAGAATGCAGTCTGTGAGGAGGAGAAGCTGGAGGAGGAGCCCAGGAGCGACGGGGAGCTGAGGCTCTGGGATTGCCAACTCCTCAAGGTCATCTTCGTGCTGTAGGTGACTATATCGGAGGCAGGGGGACAGGGGGTTGTCAAGCTCACCTGGGTGTCTGGCTGTTTAGAGCAGGGGCCTCTGTGTGTGGGAAGTTCCCAGGTCAACTGAAAGTCCTGGGTGGGGTCTGGAGGCTACGTTGCAGGCCCTTCTGAAGCAAGACCAAATATCTCCAGTTTTTATTCACACAACCCTGTAATTTAGGGTTCAGGCTGGCAGGATATGGAAAAAAGGGAAAGTTGCAGAGGATTGGGGAGGGGGAGGGCTGACTGAATTGGAGAGGGCCATCAGATAGACGAGGGGAGGGGGCCACAGCCTTCCTGCTACCCACTTTTAGAGCAGTTTTTGGAACCCCAGACTTGGCTGTAAATCTTGGCCAGCAGAACGGTGAGTATGGTGGGGTGTTTCATGAACAGCCAGCCCCTGGCTTCCCCTCACCGTACCTCGTGACCGTCCTCTGGTTCTGCTGGCTGAGTTCTGGCTGTCGGCTTCAGCACCTGCTGGGGGGATGTGGGCCTGCCGCCTTAGGGGATGATCTCTGTGGTCTTGAAGCGGAGACATGGGGCCAAGGTGGCCAGTCAGAGGGAGGGTGGCCTCAGTTTACCTAGAATTCTTGCTGGGCTTTGAGGGCACCTCCATGCGGACAAGTCTCAGGACCCCCACAGGGCCTCTCAGAACAAAGATGTCCAGGCCTCGAAGGTAGCTGAAGGGCAAAGATTTCTCTAATTCCTCCCAACTGCAACCAGAAGTAGCTTAGTCCCCACTCCTATTTCTGGTGAGCCTCTAAAAATGCCCTTTTCCCGGGTAAGATATCCTTCTCATCTCTCTCCAGGGTCTGCTTCTTGGTCATGTCCTCATCCTATCTGGCATTCCGCATCTCCCGGCTGGAACAGCAATTACGCTCCCTGAATTGGGATGGCCCAGTCCCTGGGCACAGGTGATGCCCTGTCTCTTGCTAATGCCTCTGGGATTGAGGGTGAAGGATAGGAGCCAATAGCTACGGCCAGGCTGCTTGCTGTCCTGGTTGGACTTGGCCCTGCCATTGCTCTGGCTTGATGGTCCCAAGCAAGGTTGGACAGCGTGTGCGATATACACAGGTCCCACCCTGTCCCACTCTCATGGGGGGAGAAAGGTTCTGCTGATCTGTCTGCCTGCCTTTTAGGCCCTTTCGCTGATGTGTGCTTCTCCTGTGTGCAGGTAACAGCCACCGTGCCTTTGTCCCCACTTCTCCGTGAAGAATGTTCTGGGTGCTAAGGTTGCACCAGTGATCCCCATGGTTTATGCTGCTGCTGCGCTGAGACTGAATATGATGGAATACATTCCAGATCCTTCCTCCTCCCCCTAACTCTTATCCCTCCTGTTTACAAAGCTGCTACAATTTGGGGACTCGGACAAAAAGCCAGATTCTTGGAACCAGCTGAGAAATTCTGTATACTAAGCTTCGGCAAGCACTTCAGTGGAAAAAGAAAATTAACTTGTTCCTTGGAAACAGCCTGGCCCAGAGGCAGAGGACTAGGAGCCACCCAAGGGACAAAGGCCATGCTTTGGTATCTGGAATGCACCTCTTCAACTGTCACGTGGCTCTCTGCCGCAGTGGGACAGAGCCTCGAACCCAAACCACCAGCGGGGCTCTGATCTCTCCCAGCATACTGTGCTCTCACTTGGGCCCCTGCGAGTCTCTGTTCTGGGAGCCAGGCACCTGTCAGGCCAAGGGCAGACTGGGGGGCGGGGGGAGAGGAGGGAGAAGCTATGAACAAGGCGAGGAGGGCGTGTAACCTGGATTCCAGCTAGAGAGGAATGTTCCTGCCCTGTGCTGAGGCCCAGTTCTGGCCTCTCATGAGGAGGCTGGCTGAATCTGGAGGACAATACAATACTTGCAGCAGAGGACGGTGGCAGGGGCTGTGAAGGAGAGCAGAGGTCCAGCGTTCTGTGTCCTGAGCGGCCACTTCCTGGTGAGACAGGTGGAGCAGGGCCTTTGATCACTGTGGTCACAGACGTGGTACTGCGTCTTCCCCTCGTGTGCTCAAACCGTTCTAAGGTGCCCCAGGCGGGATGTAGGGGCCGCGGTGGGGGTGGGTGGGAAGGTCGGTGGCTTTGATTTGAGATCTTGCTCTGTACTCCCTGCCCGACTGCCTGAGAGGCCATGACCAATAGCAGCCTGTCAGGGCTGCGAGGCCGGGCAGCTGGGCACAACGGTATAGGGCCACCGCAGGGCAGAGCTCGCGCATGTCTCCGGAAATGAGTATGCTGCAGGCCATTGGGGAGGCTTCCCTCGCTCCATGAAAAAGGTAGAGGTGTCCAAGGTGGACAGTGCAGCGACCAGGCTAAGGGGTTCTCTCTGACACCTTTGGAGACAAGAGAGGTGAGGGGATGGGAAGAGTAGACACAGTGGTAGCTTTGTCTTAGAGATTCCTCCATTTCTGCCAAGGCCTTCTCTGTTCTGAACAGCTTGTCTGTATCTCAGATCGCTGCCTGTTCCCCCTGGGACTCCCATCTGCTAAGACAGTGCCTTTGGAGGTGAGGTAGAGGGAGGGGCCTTAGTGAAGAGGTCAGCGGTAGCCAGGAAAGTCACTGGTGACGGGGTGAGTGGTGTCAGAAATAGTCCGTTTTTCCTCCTCGGACACCCGAGAGGCTAATCAGGGAGCAATTCAAGCAGGAATTATTAATTACAGAGCCATGATAAGACAAACCCAAATGGGAATTGGAGGGACTGACTGTAGGTGACAAGTCCGTAAACTCAGACTAGCAGTCTCTTCATTCTCTCCCCATTGCAGGTTCTGGGAGGGGCGGGGGGGGGGGAGGGGGACGTTGCTTGCCCCTCATCTGTATATATCAGGTGAGACTCATTATTCCATTCTCCCCCACAGCACCACACAGGGGAAAACCCCATCCTGTTTTTGGAACCAGCCCCCTTCATCACTCCTTTCCATCACGTCTTCAGGGAAATACTTGCCCCAGTGTCTCCCCGCCTCGGTCCTTGCTGAAGGGCAGGGAGAGTAGGTCCGTTCTCTGAGCCCTGCGAGGTTGAGCCAGAGGCCCGTGAGAGGCCAGCAGAGGTGCCAAGTCATGGGTAACTGCCAAGATGCTGGTGAATCTGGTCTCCAGCCATGCCCCAGGCTCAGAGAGGGCAAGAGGCGTGCTGTAGGGTGGGTGGCTCTGGAGGGCCCTCTCTCTGTTTGTCCCTTTGGTTCCCCAGCCTGGTCCTCTGGAGCCAACGTCCCTGTTGGTTGTGCTCACTTGTAAACTATGTGTATTTGTACAGACCTGCTTGCACTGGCTGATGCTCCTCTAATTCCCTGAGAGATTGGTTCAGTCATGCGTGGGTTGTTCCAACATGGCGTTAGCTTTTGAAAATATTTTAAAATACAAAAGTTTGATTTTTCTAGTGTCCTGTGGTATGGAAAGTTCATTTTTATCCTTTGACTACTCACGAAGGGTATCCTACTGACATATTTGGCACCAAAGAGACTGACGGAGCCCAAGTCATTCCCAGAATCCCCAGTAGTCTGCAAATCTCCCAAGACTTTAGCCGAGCTGCCTCACATTCAGCTTCAGGCATAACGGGAAGGGGAAGAGTGGCCACAGCAAGCCTCCGCAGCCTTCGGCCTCTGTTAGGTGGACACTGAGAATGCTTCCCCATTTCTCTGGGGCAGATCCAAAGCGACGTCCCTGGTTCGAATAGTCCTGTGCTTCTTTCTGACTCAGGAATTGAAGTCCAGAACTCAGGGCCAGAAAATTCCTGTGTCCTTTTCTGTGAACTTGAGCCTCCATCAGGGAGGTTAAGTTCCAATTTGGGCCACATCACTTTTTCCCTAGGATGCCCCCTCTAGGAGTGATTCATTCATTCAGTGAAATATTAAGCGCAGACTATGAGCCAGCTACTATGCGAGGCAGTGGGGATAGAGCAGTGAACATGTCAGGCAATATCCCTGTGTGCCCATGGCACCTATGTTCCACGGGAAGTAAATATGTAAATAAACAAGGGAACTGCAGATGGTGAGTAGGTTCCACAAAGGAAAGAAACGGTGATGTGAGAGGAAATAGGGAGTTGGGTGTAGATGGCTGGTCAAGAAATGTTCTCGGAAGTGCCATTTAGGCTGGTGAAGGGCCAGCGGTGGGAGGAAAAAAGAGCATTTCCCAGCAAATGGATCAATAACTGCAAAAGGTAGGGAAGATGTATATGTCCCTGCACAGAGAGAGTGTCCGCATGACTCTGGGATACCAATCAGGTGGGAGAGTGACGTGAAAGAGGTTGGAGAGGTCAATGCCAACAAGACATACAACCAATTACAAAATGGGTAAACAAGCAACTTGCATAGACCTATCTCTAAAGAAGAGATACAGATGGTCAATGGGCAACGAAAAGATGCCAAGCGTCACTAGTCATTAGGGAGGTGCCCACAATCCCATACCACTTCATATACCTTAGGATGGCTACTCTCAGACAGGATACGGGTGTGGTGACGAGGTGGGAAAATTGGAGCCTTTATGCACTGTTAGTAGGAATGTGCAGCCACTGTGCAACACGGAGCGGTGGTTTTTCAAAAAATGAAAAGCAATTACCGTATGTTCCAGTAACACCACTTCTGGCCGTATACCCCAGAGCACTGAAAGCAGGGTCTTGAAGAGTCAGCTGGACACTCGTGTTCAGAGCAGCATTCTTCATAATAGCCAAAAGGTGGAAGCAACCCAGGTGTCTATTAACCAATGAATGGATAAACCAGATGTGGTATGTATATACCATGGAATGTCACTCAGCCTTCAAAAGGAGGAAAATTCTGAGCCATGCTACAACATGGATGAACTTTGAGGACATTCTGCTAGGTGAAATAAGCCAGTCACAAAAAGGCAAACACTGTATGATTCCACTTCTACGAGGCTCCTAGAGTAGTCACAGTTATAGAGAAAGTAGGACGGTAGTTGCCTGGGGCTGGGGGGAGGGAAAGTGAGAGCTATTGTTTAATGGGTATAGAGTTTCAGTTTTACAAGATGGACAGAGTTCTGGAGACTGATAATGGCTGCATAACAATGGGAATATACTCGACACTATGGGAATATACACTTAAAAATTATTAGTATGGTCAATTTTGTGTGTATTTTAACACACGCACATACGTGCGCGCACACACACACACACACACACACACACACGTTGGAGAGGTAGGCAGGAGAAAGGAGTTTGGATTTCATACAATCCCTGGGTACTGCCACAGATCTGAAAGTTTGGAGCCCATAGGCTTGGTGGTTGCTGAACCCAAGTGCTTTCTTTTGCTAGAGGACATAAACACATGGATATAATACACAGAAAAATATGGCTGATAATCTACATGGTAATATACCCCCTATTCTTTATTCTCAGGCTGGCTCATAGCAGCAGCAGCACCAAGAGAGCAAATAATCTTTATGGTTTTTAAAATTGAAATGAGCTAACTATAAGGAAGAAACAACTGCTTTAAATTTGGAGAAACGGAGGGAAATATATAATGCAGGACCCTGGGTTTTGCAACATGCATGTAGCCAGATGAGGTAAGATCATGGGAGGAGCAGGAGCTCTGGTGAAAAGGGCATTCAAGAATGAGGGGAGTCCTGGGGCGCCCGGTGGCTTAGTCGGTTAGGCGTCCGACTTTCGCTCCGGTCATGATCTTGCGGTTCGTGGGTTCGAGCCCCGTGTCGGGCTCTGTGCTGACTGCCAGCTTGGAGCCTGGAGACTGTTTCAGAGTCTGTGACTCTCTCTCTCTCTCTCTCTGACCCTCCCCTGCTCTCGTCCTCTCTCTCTCTCTCTGCTAGAAATAAATAAAACATTAAAAAAAAATTTTTTTTTAAAAAGGAATGAGGGGAGTCCTGGCAGAGCTGCACCCCACCGGGCTCTCCCGCGAGTAAGACTGCCCACGCCCTTGCTTGTAGCACCTGGCCAGCCAGCCTTGGCCCTCCTATTTGGCATTAGGACGCCTGTTGAGCTGGGTGAGGTCATGAACCTATGCAGCTCCTCTCTCCTAGCTGCTGGGCCTCAGAAGCAGGGCGTCCTAGAACAGAGACGCTTCTCAGAGAAGGTGCTCAGGTTTGCCTCAGGCGCGGACAGAAGCCAGATCCCCAGGCTGGGCTCTTTGAAGGGCAAGAGATGCCTCCTAGGCCGCTAGGTGGCAGCAAAGTGCAGCAGGAACCGGAGCCCCAGAGGGGAGGAACAAACTTCATTTTCCTTTGTTGCCTCCCGGGGTGAAAATGGGCCAGGACTGGTCCAAGTCCAGTGCACATTGCTTATCCAGTGGCAGAAGGGGAGCTCCCGTGGCCATTTCTCTATGGTCCCCTTTGGTCCTTTCTCTTCTCCTTTCCCTCTTCTACCATGGCGGGGTGGGGGGGAAGTGGGGTGGAATGCATTCCCAAGGGCTCTCCAGACCTTCAGAAGGTCAGGCCAGGAGGGAGGCAGACCGGGCAGGTGTGAAGAACAAGCATGTGTTGTTTGGGAGGGTCGGGGGGAGGGTGCGAGGGAGGGAGGGCAGCTCTGCTTCTCTCCCAGCAAGGACACAGAAATCCCAGGCTTTCCCCCTGGCCTGCCCTTGTGGTAAGTATCCTCTGAGGGCACAGAATTAGAGAAATGTGGCTCCAGCAATGTATGATTTCAGGAGGCCACAGCACTCTTTCCCCTCCTACCTTCGTTTAGAGATAAGGACCTAGACCCCAGAGGAAACAGAGGTTTAACACT